TGGTTTTCAAAATAAGAAAAGGAGGATGCAGAGTGTACGATCCGCCGGAGCCAGTAAGTAGACCCCAAAATACCATGCAATTATTTGAATATCTGATATGTTAGAACAACATTCTAGTACTAGGATAGGGATCTTCAGGAATTGCATGATAGAATTGTCTGATTGTATGATGCCTGATAGCCTAGGTTTTTCCTTATATGAAATTGACATCATTACTGTAGTTGCTTAGTGTATGCATCACGGCCGAACATTATTAAGATCTTATAGCTTGAGAATGTTTGGTTTGGCCTTATTTCCTGTTCTTGTTTGATGAAGGGATTAGGGTAGGATCAGGTATTTGAAAGTATATAGGGTCCAGCGTTATGTATGACTAGCATACACTAGTGCTGCAGGGTTGGTGGAAGTTTCATGGATGGGTGGGTTGTGCGAGGCCGGTAGGCCAGTTATGAGATATTTAGCATTCCTCTAGGAGTGAGGATTGAGCGCTCGCCATGTTATGTATACAGTTAGGGCGTTGTGCTGATACTTGAGACAAATATGGGTAGGTGTGGAAGGTAGTATGGGCCCGTACTACTGAGACAAGGATGTCAAGAATGGCTAGTGTACATCGACGACGGGGTGTTTGGTGATGGTTCGAGTAGGTTTGTGAGAGAGAATGGAGTGCAAGAGTTTGATTTTATTGTGTTCAATCATCAAGGAAGCATGGTGTTTGACTTTTTAGTTTTTGACCAATCTACATGTGAAAGACAATGGCCGAAGTTACTAGACGAAATGGACGTAGAAGAGCCTCTCTCAGAATTTGATACGATCCATACACATAGTAAGCTTTCTAGCATTGTACGCTGCGTTGCATTAGTTGTACAATATATTTGGACAATTCTTTATCAGATTTGCGTTTAATTTATTATTACTGTCTTGTGATATTTCGAGTTTGCCTTTCATCCATTCTATAAAATGTTAACCAGAAGGGATGAAGAAACTGAAAAAGTGGAAGAGGAACGATTATACATTTCAAGATCATGAAAAAGTTCAAGTAAAAAAAGAGAGTAGTTCGATAATGAAGAAGAAAATTAGTTTGACTCTTATCAATCATCCATACTTTATTTCAAATCTGACGCTCTCTAACTTCAAAAACTCGGTTCTGGTAACTTGTAGAACCATTGTAAATCTTATGGTAAAACGAAATGACTTCTACATTTTCGTTCTAATCATTTACAAACTATGTTTTTTCTTATTTCAGCATCTTCCTATTCACTTTTCGACACCAAATGATCTAAAAAACGGACAAATGATTATTAGAGATGACAAAGGTCGATTATGGAAAGTTCGGTTGAACAAAAAAGACGAGAAATGTTTATATATTGGACGTGGTATTAAACCTTTTCTGGTTGCGAATGGTTTAAAGGAAGGTGATGCATTCAAGTTTGAGCTCGTCGAGAAAGAGAAAGACAAGCCTCCCATCGCCAACTTTTCTTGTATTCATGGTATTTTAATTCTTTATCTTCAATTTAGTTTATTATTTCTTCGAATCGATCTGTGTTAATTTATATATGTAAAGAATTTGCTGATTTTGCGGTTTGAATCCTTCTGAAGAAGATGGATGCCGGTACTTCATGGGCCTACTGAAGTTATACAACATACAACGATCAGAGCTGGTAAGATATTTTGTAAACTTTATATGAAAGAAGCTCATCTTGAGAGGAATTATGTTCAAAAAGTATCGAAATCCCTTGCAAAAAGACCTTATTGGAGGGGATAGTTTAGGAATTTTTTTACTAAGAATTGTGGTTATTGTATTTGTAGTATCTGCCACAAGGATTTGCAAGGTCTTGTGGGTTAATCGATAAGAAAAAAAATATATCTCAGAGACGTAGAAACGAAATGTTATGGAAGGTGGAGTTAAGGCACTCTAAGAGTCGGTATTGTATAGGACGAGGCTAGAAAGAATTACGTGTTGCAAATGGATTGAAGGAAAGAGATTGTTTCAAATTCGAGGTCGTTGACAAGCGGGAAGAGCCCATAGTAAACTTTTACTCACAAAAAAATTAGTTAAAGCTTGCTAGGATTCCCTAATTTTATTCTTATAGATTGCTTAAAGCATTTGCTCTACCAATTATGTGCCTACAATGTTGCAATTGGAGAATATTCTTACTAATGAATTTTGGTCAAAAGAATTCTTAAATCTCCTGCTTTGATTAAGAGGATGTGGTAGAGGATAATGATACACAAATATAAGTTAACGGAAAATAAATGTTTATACTTTATAAGATCAAAGCAAACGGCATATATCCATATGTATGAGCAAATAGAAAACAATAAGAAGCTAACTTGGTTTCCAGATAATCCTACCTAATAAATGAAAATAATTTTGGCAAATGTCATTCTCTCATGCATTATGCCACATGTCATTTTGTCATAATTTTGAGATATTTATTTAGTTTCTATAAATTAAACATACCATAATAACTATATTAGTTTCAAATTTTAAATTTCGAAGTTAAAACTTCAATTTTAATTTTAAATAAATTTACAACTGAAACCTTCGTATTTAACATTTTGTTATAATTAACAAATTTAATACACGGGTCTAACAACTAAACACATAATTTTAATTTTATTTTTCATGGTTTTTTTTTTCATAATTTTACTTATTTCAAATTTCAAATTCAAATAAACTTTCAGTTTAATCATTTGTATTTAACATTTTGTTTTAATCAACCCGTATAATATACGGATATCACAACTAGTAAATACGATTTGACACAAATAAAACAATGAAGTGTGTTTAAAATCAATAATTAATAAAACATATCTAATAATCAAATAAGATTAATTTGATAATATTAAAAAGAGTAAATTATAAGAATGGTCCCTATGGTTTAAGGTAATTTGCGTGTTTGGTTCCCAACTTGTTTTTTTAACACGGATTGTCCCTACTGTTTGTTTTTGTTACATGCTTGGTCCCTGTCTTACCTAAAAAAACTATTTTGCTCTTGATTTTTCAATTTATTCAAATAAACACACCCCCAACCCCAACCCCACACCATCATCTTACCTTACCTACACCACCAATTTTCCATATCTAAATAATAGTCTTTTTAGGTAAGACATAGACCAAACGCGTAACAAAAACAAACAGTAGGAAGCAAGTGCGTAACAAAAATAAAAAGTAAGGACTTTTCAAGTTAAAAAATAAGTTAGGGACCAAACGCACAAATTACCCCAAACCATAGGGACCATTCATGTAATTTATTCTATTAAAAACTAGATATGTCTAGAATCAAGGACCAATCTATATTGAAGACTAGATAGTCACACCCAACAATAACATAGTGTATGTAATTTTTTCAATCTAGTAAAATAAACATTTATAGTTAGCATTTTTATTTTTTAAATGGACTAGCAAGGTGTTGCGGAGCTAGTACAATAAGATCACATAGGGAATGCAAGGAACGGGGATAAGCATCAAGTGTTTCTATCTGGACTTTGACGTGTTTGGTATTGAGCTTATGAGAGTTTTTGGAAGCTTTTTAACTTTTCAAAAAAAAAAAAACTATAAGAAAACAAACAAACAAACTATAAGAAAACAAACAAACAAACTTTGTTTGGCAGCATAAATTTTTAATTTTTATTTTAAACAAAAAACTCCGAATCCAAAAACTAGTTCATATAATTTTTGGGAGTTTTTTGTTTTTCAGAACTTTTACACAGTTTTTACCTGTTAGTTTTAGACTATTTTTACACATTTAAATGCTAACAACTATTTTTGTCAAACACATCTTGCATAAATAAAGCTACAACCTACAACTATCAGTTAATTCTGCCTATTGTTAAATTAAAAAAAAATTGCCTTAGTTTCTTCAAAAATCACATTTGGGGAAGAGACTTTTTGTTGAAGCTTTTATTATTCCATGTCCAAAGTATTCAACATGTCAAATGGAAGATCATTAGAAGTTTTTTATTCCTTCATTGGTTTCTCGGATAACAACGAGTATGAGAGGATGGAATTAATAGTTTTGGGGTAAAATTGTCCAAACGACACAAATAGCGATAAGGTTCCAAAGTGAAACAGCAAAAGCGTATGCTATTAGCAGATGATCCGCTATTTCTTACGTGGCCCAACATAAATGGAAGTTGGTGTTTTGTATCTCGATGAACCTTCTCACTAATGCAACAAGTGTCGATTTTGTGTAAACCTCGATACAAGTTCTCCAAGCAAAACAATTGATTTTGTACGAGGCCCACTCATGCCAATAAAATGGGTCACCATCTGTTATGCAATATCTTTACTCAATCGTTGTTCTTAGGGATTTAATAGTGAAGCATCATGAATCATCACCATAACCATTAATCTTGTTTATCAGAAAAAATGAGTGGTTAATCATTTTTGTACAAGCTTGAAACTGGCCCAATTTCGCTTATGTTTTGAATTGCTAGTGATGATGGTGAAAGGAGTTTGTGATGGTGGTGATAGTGGTAAGGTTGATGGTGATTGCTGATGGGACTGATGGTAATTTGATGATAGTAGTGATGGTGATTAGTGTTGGTGATGGAGATGATTAGTGTTGGTGATAGTTGTGATTGGTAGTGATAGTGATGAGGCGGATGTGAATGATGACAACGGTGATTGTAATTGGTATTAGTGATCGTGGTGATTGGTGATGGGGATGGTGGTGAGGCTTATGGTGATTGATGACGGTGGTGATGGTGATTAGTGGTGGGGCTAATGGTGATGGTGCTTGGTGGTGGAGAGTGAAAGAGGTGGTAGAATAATAAATAAAAAGAATGTTATACTTTTGGTCCTTTAGGGTGGGGGTGGGATAAGGGAAAAATTCTCATATTTCAAAGACCAATCATATTAAAAAATACTGTAAAATTATTGGACTAAAAGTGAAGATTGGGCAAAACCGAAGGATCAAAACTTTAACTTACTCAACATCGTATTTATTATGTGCATTAATTTGGTATATAGCTTCTTTAATTGTAAGGCAAATGCGATCGAGGGTATGTCACACCAAATATCCTGCAAAACCGCCATGGCAGATCCTCCTACTCATTTCTTCAAGTTCATCTCTCCAAGCTTCAAATTTAACCCTGTAAGCATTTGTATGCATCATTCAGGTGTACGATTTCCATTCGCAAACTATCAATCAGAACCAATGCGCATAATTTAGCCTACGGTATATTCTCTATATATACCCGTTCTTTTCACCTACTTATTAAGTTGTATATGCATTTGCAGTCGATTCCAAGTTCGTTCTTGAGGAACCTGAACCATGGGAGATGCTTGAAAGTGACACTGAGACGTGGGCGTCACGAATGGTCAGTGAACATTGACGACGGGATTTTTGGTGATGGTTGGAGGAGATTTATGAAAGAAAATGGAGTCCAAGAGTTTGACTTTATTGTGTTCAAACATCAAGGAAGCATGGTGTTTGACTTTTTGGTGTTTGACCAATCTACATGTGAAAAACAATACCCAGATCTATTTGACGAAATGGATGTAGAAGAGCATCTCACAGAATCTGGTACGATCTGCACACATAGTAAGCTCATTGAAGGTTTTAATATTTTTGTTTTATACTTAGCATATCAAATGGTGAATATTTTGAGTTTGAGTTTCAATTTTGTATGAAATATTGTCTGAAAGGGCCGAAGAACCTCAAAAAGCGCAAGACGAACGATTATGCATATTCTCAAGACCAAGAAAATTTTCAAGTAAAGAAGGAGACTTATTCAACAATAAAGAAAGCAACTAGTTCCAGTCTTAACAATCACCCATACTTTATTTCAACTCTGAAGGCTTGTAGCTTCAAAAAATCAGCCCTGGTGACTTTCTCTTTTAGAACCCTTAAATCTTATGGCAAAACGACTTAACTTGTACATATTAATCTTAATCATTTACATATTGTAGTGGTTTTTTTTTTCAGCATATTCCAGTTAAATTTGCGATACAAAATGGTTTAAAAATTGGAGAAATGATTCTTAGAGATGATAAAGGTCGATCATGGAAAGTTCAGCTGAACAAAAAAGAAGAAAAACATATTTATATTGGACGTGGTCTTAGAGCTTTTCGGGTTGCTAATGGATTGAAGAAAGGTGATGCATTCAAGTTTGAACTCATCGAGAATGAGAAAGACAATCCCCCCATCGTCAACTTTTCCCGTACTGTATTTTCTTTATCTTCGATTTTGTGTTTCAGTTATTCGAATTGATTCATGTTTAAGTCAAAAATGAAAAGTCTGTTTATTTTATGCGCAGTTCTAAAGAGCAAGCCGATTAAATCCGATAAAAAAGCAAAACTTAAACAAAAGGAAGAACTGATTCCTTATCAAGAAGATGACCTACCCTACTTCATAGGGAAATTAAAGTCCTGGAACATACGATGTTCACATTTGGTAATTATTATTGTTTCCCTTGCAAAAAGACGTTTCTGGAAGAGATAATTTACGAAATTTCTTATAAAGATTTGTTATTATTATAGTATCTACCACTACAGTTTGCGAGGTTAAGTGGATTAATCAACAAGAAGCAAATACTTCTGAAAAATGTCGAAGATGGAAGGTCATGGTCTCTCAAGATACATAATCATAAGAAAAATTTCTATATAGGACAAGGTTGGAAGGATTTTCAAGTTGCAAATGGATTGAAGGAAGGAGATTGTTTTAAACTGCAGGTGGTCTACAATGGGGAAATGCCAATTGCAAACTTCTACTTATTGTAAAATTTAGAACTCTTTTAATTTTGTTATAAAGACTTATATTATGTTTTTCGTATTTTCTATCGAATTTCTAAGTTTAATGTGTTATTGCACACTCAAAATATTATTAATTTATTGTTAATTTTTTGTGATATATTGTGTGTTTGTGATTACTTGTCTAAAATACTTTTATTAATTTATTGTTAATTTGAGTATTTAGATTACACAAAATAATTTATAACTTGTTTTTAGTCTTTTTAGCAGATTATGGGTTAGTATTACTAATAAATATTAGTAAAGATTTTTTTTTTAAATTATTTGTTTATTGCATTTTGATGTTTTGATAGTGTATAAGTTGACATTTTTGGATTTATACGTAATATAACTTAATAAAAGTTATGAAACAAAATTAAAATGAAAATTTAAATTAATTATAAAGAAATAAATTTTCAAATGGGGTAAATTGTACAAAAGTCATTAGTTTTTTCATTTTTTCGATTTTAACGCCGTGTTTTTTTATTACAATTAAGTCATTATGTTTTCAATTTATTATAATTTTGACCAGATGACCGGTTTGCTTGAGGTCATCCGGTTGCCACTACTGACATGGCAAAATGACTTGTTTGAAGCAAAAAACATGGTGCAAAAGTCGGTGTGTTTTTCTTTTTTGCGATTTTGACACTAAATTTTCAATTTTTTCCAATTTTGACACTAAGTTTTCGACTTTGTCCATTTAACATAAATACAATAAACATATGCAAAGACATAAGTATCCCCTTTACCATATAATATAAAAATATATATATTAAAAAATATATATATAAAATAAACATATGTAAAGACATAAATTGTTCCATTTTCTGTACTTGGTTTTCTTTCTCTTTGCAAAGACATAATTGTTCCATTCATCCTATAATATAATAAAGAAGTTTTCTGATGAGATTGTAACGGTGCACCCAACCACTAAGATCAAAATTTTCACTATAGATTTTTCCGGCGAGAATATAGTGGCCGGAGTTAGAGAGATACAGAATGTGATTTATGGTGAACAACTGTACCTGGGTATTTTGGTGAATAATATCAGGGTGACTTATCATGCGGATAGGTTTTTTCATGAGGTTGAAGAAGAAGTTTGGATGAATATGATGAAAGTGAATGTGATAGGTACGAGTTTGGTAACAAGATTTGTGATTGAAGGAATGGTTGAGAGAAAAAAATGTGTCATTGTTAATATTGGTTTGGGTGTTGCTATTGTTGTTCCTTCACATCCTCTTTATGCGATCTATATATGTTGCCAACAAAGCGTAAGTTAGTTGTTAATTGTCTCTTTCTTTCTTTTTATTCGATCCACGGTTCTCTCTTTCTATTTTAAGATCAAATTAAATGCATATATGGTTAATTTTGACTCAACAAACATACACTAGGAATGTCTTTACAACCACAAGTCATGCATGATTTTGAGTTATGAAAAACAAGTTATTTACATACACGAGGCAATGTTTGAGAAACGAGGGATGAGGGACAAAAAAGTCAGTTGAAGTACTACATCAAGGAATAAGTGAGACCCAAATGATATATGTTGTCACAAATTAAGGTTCTATAATTCAAATATTATTTACAAATATAGGATAAACAAAAACTATATACAAACGAATATTTTCATTGATGGGGGTGGAAATTAAATATGTTTATTTCATTTATGTTGCAAACTGGAGAATATCGAAAACATAGTGTCAAAATTGTAAAAGTTTAAAAACTTAGTGTCAAAATCGTAAAAAAAAACATAATGACTTTTTCACCATGTTTTTTCGTTATTGACACGTCAGCAGTGGCAATCGGATGACCTGAAGCAAACTGGTCATCTGATCAGAGTTGCAACAAATTAAATACACAGTGACTTAATTGTAATAGAAAAACACAGTGTCAAAATCGAAAAAAAATGAAAAGTTAGTACCTTTTATGTCATTTACCCTTTTAGAAACTAGGGAAATCTCCAGAAAAGTCCCAATATTTACGGAAAAGTTACACTTTAGTCCCAAAAAAATTTTTTTGAACAAAAAAGTCCTGAAAACCGGCAAAAATTTGCAGTTTGACCCTTTTTGACCGGTTGAAACCGGTACCAAATTAATTTGGGACTATTTCATAAACTAACCCAAAATATTGAGATTTTTCTGTAAACAAAAATATTAGGACTTTTCTGTAAACAAAAATATTAGCATTTTTCTGCAAACAAAACCCTTATTATTATTATTATTATTATTATTATTATTATTATTATTATTATTATTATTATTAATATTATTATTATTATTACTATTATTATTATTATTATTATTATTATTATTATTATTAAAAATATAAATAAGAATACTATTTTTCGAACTTGTATTATTAATATTGTTAATAAAACATATAAATGCATTTAAGTGAAAAAATAATGACATTGTTTAAGGGTGGAGGGGGAGGAGATGGTGATGTTTTTAGCATTGAAATCATGAATTTATGTTTGTATATTTTTACTTTGTATATGGTCATTTCACATTTGTTATTATTGTTTTCGATTCAGAATATTAATACTTAACAATTTAAAAGAAATTGCATATTTGTAAAATTGTTTATAAATAGTTTAAGGTAGAATGATTTTTCACTTTGTATATAAAATTGTTTAAGGTACAAGGATTACTTTCCAAATCAAATATATCCACTACAAACATCTACATAGGTAGCCCAAAGCAAAATTCAAAAGTATTAATTACAATATATTGTTTAATAAAAAGCAATAGGAATAATTCAAAAGTATTAATCCAAAAAGCATGTCCTCTTACTTTTTATTAAACAAGATATTGTAATTAATACTTTTGATTTTGATATGAGCTATCTATCTATGTAGATGTTTGTAGTGGATCTGTTGGATTTGAAAAGTAATTATTCTACCTTAAACAATTTTATATACAAACTGAGAAATCCTTCTACCTTAAACTATTTATAAACAATTTTACAAAGATGCAATTTCTTTTAAATTGTTAACTATTAATATTCTGAATTGAAAACAATAATAACAAATGTGAAATGACCATATACAAAGTAAAAATATACATGCAGAAATTCATGATTTCAATGTTAAAAGTATCACCATTTCCTCTACCTCCACCCTTAAACAATGTCATTATTTTTTCATTTAAATGCATTTATATGTTTTATTAACAGTATAATAATACAAGTTCAAAAAATAGTATTCTTATTTATATTTTTAATAATAATAATAATAATAATAATAATAATAATATAATAATAATAAGGGTTTTGTTTGCAGAAAAGTCCTAATATTTTTGTTTACAGAAAAGTCATAATATTTTTGTTTACAGAAAAGTCCCAAAATTTTGGGTTAGTTTACGAAATAGTCCCAAATTAATTTGGTACCGGTTTCAACCGGTCAAAAAGAGTCAAACTGTAAATTTTTGCCAGTTTTTAGGACTTTTTCGTTTAAAAAAAATCTTGGGACTAAAGTGTAACTTTTCCATAAATATTGGGACTTTTCTGACAATTTCCCTAGAAACTAATGAAGTTAGGCCCGTTTGGTTTGTGAAAAGCTTTTTAGAACGAGGGGAAGTATTGAGGGTGGAAATTCCAATTTAGATTTGGAAAATAAAAGCATTTGAAAAATCTTGCACACGTTGAACGTGTATTGAGAAAGCAAGTGAGCATAAAAAACTAAAGACAAAACTGCAAATATGGTCTTTGTGGTATGTATTTTTTCGGGTTTTGGTCCAAACCATAAAAGTTTTGGATTGGTGGTCCTTCTGACCATGTTTGTATGTAGATATGGTCTCTCCCAAAACTAAAATGACTAAAATACCCTTATTTAATTTCTTTTTTATTTTCTTTTCAAATAGACTAATAACAAAATAGGTCCACCATATCTTTCTCTCCCCATTCTCTCTCTCTCTCTCTCTCTCTCTCTCTCTCTCTCTCTCTCTCTCTCTCTCTCCCTCTCTCTTTCACACTCACGTACACACTTAGGTGCCATTTGTTTTTTCGAAGCGAAAATGCCTGAAGTATGCGGACCACCTCTGCAACCCTCTATTGCAGAAGAGGGGAACCAAATGGCTGCAACAGGTACTAAAAAGTTTGTTTGTTTTTTAACCTCTGCAGACTGCTGCAATAAGTTAAAGTAAGGTGTGAAGAGGTTTGAAGCAGAGGGTCAAGTGTTGCGCCACGCATCACACACGCAACAGTTTTTAAGTCAGAAGTCTTCTGAAAAACAAACAGCTGCGAAGGGCCAAGTGTTGAGCGTGTGCTGCGCGACGAAACAATAAGTGGTCAGAAGTGGGTTTTTAGAAAAAAACAAACAACACCTTACACACACACACACCTACACCTGATTTGTGACCCCATCTGTAAAAAAGCAAAGCCTTACGTTCTTCACCATTTTCTTTTTACCCACCAAGCATTCGCTAGCCATCTTGAGCTAATGTGGGATCGATCCAGTTAGAGAGCAAAAACGTGAATGGTTTCTGAAGTCACCGAAGACAACCTCCCACCCTTTCATCCCATCGACAAAAGATGAATAAGCCTTTGTTGCCATCGTTCTCCTCCTGTCGAGCTGATTTCATCTCCACCTTCGGTAATAATCAATTTAAAATTCTAATTTATGGTTTATATATGTGGTTAATAATCAATTTAGGCTTCTGATTTTAGCTCCACCATTCACCCTCCCGTGTAAATTTATGTTTATATATGTCGTAAATGGGTGGTTGTCCACCATTTTTCAGGCAAGTTAGAGGTGGTAATGGCTGCAAAGTTGGAAACAACATTGTTAGCCTATAATTCACTGAAACTTTCTTCTAAAACTGGGGGTTATTTTCTCATGAGATATGGCGGGGTTTTTTTCTAGTGGTGGTGGCAGGGTGGAGGAAAGGTGAAGGGAACGACACTGGAGGTATGATATGCTTATTTTACTGTTGCATAATCGAAATAAAAAAGGTTTGGGGGGTTCTTTCCTCAAATATGATTTAGGGTTGCTGACGGGAAGGGATGGCGGTGGATATGTGGGTTTTGATCGGGGTAGAGGCAGGAAATCACTTATTGTAATGCCCAGTTCTCGGTATGTATTTTAA